AGACAACCCCGTAACAATATGCGTTTTGTACTGCTGTTACACAGCACAAAACGCATAAAAACAAAAAATTCAAGCATGTAATTTAAGTGAGGTTGAAATCAACTTTTCTTGATGAGCTTCATCCATCTAATCTTCAGTCAAAGTCAGACGTGGAATATTCTTTATTTCTTTTATTGAAATAGAAAAAGAAGGGGCTATACAGACCCGCCCAAGAAGTGGTCATTCCAAACAGGAATGTCAGAGTTGTGGTAGACGAGGGATGGTAATTTGCGGCCGTAGTTAGGCTGAAGAATAACAAAGAAGGAAGAGAACTGTAAAAACCGAAGGAAGATTCCATGTAGTTCAAGGCTGGAAGGACAGAATTTGTTAGAATAGTGGCGAGCGAGACAGCTGGGTTGCTGGTGTGGAACAAACCGTCTGATAAGTTAAATGGTCATGTTCCGGGTATATGTAGGGTGATCTGTCCGTGTTTCATCCTTTAACAACTGTAAACATAGACAATGCGAGGTGTGGTTAGGTTGAGAATCATCAGTACAGCCCCTAACCACCAATGCAGTTCAAAACGAACTTGAACAACTTCACGATGAAATTTGATGGTGACTAGTAACCGATATACACTACGTACTGCAGAGAGATTCGCAGGAGAATTGGGAAGCATATGAGGAGATGGAGCACATCGAACAGGAGGTTCGGCATTCTAACTAGAAGCACTCAGCTCAGGATAATGTATCAAGCATCGATCAAGTTTAGGCCGAGTTCCTCATTCCTCTCAGTTTCTTGGTGCCTCAGATGCGGCACAGCTGCTGCCCTCAGCGTGTGAGAACGACCCAGCAGACATCAGTGACAAGAGATCACGAAATCGAGTGTTAGCAGACTTAATATTCTAGATATTTTGAAAACACAGATCCTCTTACCTTAAGATCAGTCACAACCCACTCACAAACAGGACACTCATCGCTTTTTCTGACTCGTTTTAAAACCACTGTATATGTTTTTTGAAGACCGCAAAAATTCGTCGATTCCTCGATCGCATGGTAACGATCGCTGACTGGCCCAACCCAGTCAGCTTCCAATTTATCCATTTGCCAATTCGAAACATAAATTTTGGATTCCAGCTACAACAAGCAAAGATCTCTGTGCATAACAAAAAGGTCCCCTTTGGAGCATAACACCGTTAACGTTACATGCAGAACTTATCCTACACCTTGTGCTAAAAAGCTTCCAGACAGCAGAAAATGCACAAAAAAAAGGCGCTTTCGCAGTATCGACAAAATCTAAAACGTGTGGACGAAACCTTCTCAAACAAACTTAGTCATGGGTATAACTTCAAATGCCATCGGCTTACCAACAAATTATTATAACGTGGCTTGGCGTTTAAAACAGCAGGCGTAACGCTCCAGCCGTCTGCAACATAATATCCAATATTAACGTGCCTCTGACGGTTCTCGATTATCCTAAACAGCACTAGATTTAGTGAACGATACCAGCTGATATGTACAGAGAGCAGAAGATGGCGTGCAGAAAAAGCAAAGAGCAACCCAGAATCGAACAGCAGACTGACCTATCTGTCCCGCTCTTGGTAATAAGTATATAGGCATGCAATTTTTTTGTAAAGTTCAGTGCTGGAATTTAAGATTTGTTCAACGTGTTCTCCGTCGTCAGTTCTGGCGCTGCATTTCATCCTTAGCTCATTGCGATCCAAATTTCGACTGTATACTTTTTGTCGTGTTGATAACGTTTGTTTGGTTATCCCGGCGTCCCCATTAAGCAGAGTTAGCAACACCATCATCGTCCGAACAGCGCTGTCTGTCTGGTCGTCCAAACATCGTCACCATCTATTCTAGCTTCGTCGTAACAGGTAAAAAACTAACATATTCATCAATAATTTTCTGCTTTTTAGATTGGAGCCCTTATGATGTAAAGATGCGCTGAACAGTACATGCTCTGACTTAAACAGAGTGCATGCAGACACAGCCGGCCATTCTCACTATTGCAGATAAAATATCTTTTTCCATAAGACAAGTTAATGGGGGGAATATAGCTGACTTCTTCCGAATATTTCAAAATAGTAAAACATCAATCCTTGAAAAAAAGTGTAAAATTTCAATTATATTATAAATCTTACGAACTTACATAGCAGCAAATTTGATCCATTGTCCAAGAAAGAGACGATCATCGTTACAAATAATGATACCTTCACCGATTTCAGGAGTCCATACAAACCACGCAATCTTCGATCGGCTAACAATCACTCCTGTCCTTTCACGCTGCAAAAAAAAAAGAAAAACAGAAATCTGAAGGAACAGTTAACATTACTATGCTGGCCTCCTGTCAGGCTACTGCTGGAAAGGATTTTCCCAAATACATAAAACGGATGATCTGCTTGTGACATTCGAAAAGCTCAAAAATAAAGTTTTTCTCGCAGATGCTTGAAATCCAACATTCTCAGCAGCATCATGAACAAAAAAGAAAAGACCTTACAGGAGAAGCTTGACTCTGGTTACTTATAACTCGATGCATGTAAAAATTGCGTTCAGTTGTCTAAAAACCATTACACTGGAAATGGCGTCCCGAGTGAATGATGGTTGCTGCTTTCTCTTCGTGGTGCATAAAAAATCGCTCTTTTAACAAAACTGGTGTTTTAAAACTGTGTCAGACTTGGTGATTTTATACTTAAACGAACTAGAGGTGTTCTCATGAAAAACAATTCCAGCTCAGTATTGCCGATCTCACCTTGTCAGCCATGCAATATCGGAGTAGATATGTGCACCTTAATTTATTTCGCTAATTTACGACATTTCTGCCGTCAACTGCTGAAACTTTGCTGATATCGCCGATAGTATTACAGACCAATTTTCCCACTCAGTACTGCTTACTCTGGCGCACAATCTGCTTCCTCGACCTTGGGATTAAATGCTACAACAGTTGTCTGTCTGATGTTTATAACAAGACCCTTGATTAGCCCTTACTGTGGATTAATACGGTTTTCCAGGCAATGATATAGGTCATGCTATCTCTGATGAAGTTACTGTCTCCTGCTGAACTTTTAAACAGATTGCAGCATCCAGGTTGACTATGGAACCGTAGCTGACAAAGGTGCGATGGAATTTAGAAAGAAAGGGTACTATAGGAAAGAAGGTAAGAGTGATGAATTACACTCAGCTGAAGGCATTGTCGTACGAATGCAAATAAACGTGGTTACCAACGAAAGCTGAAGGATGAGCGCTAAGCCTCGATGCAGGCAGCGACAGAGCAAAAGGTGTTTGAGGTGTCTCTTCGTGATCATATAAACAATCAGACTCTCAATCAGATGAGCGGCATCCAGGATATCATTGCATCCATGAGAGAAAGGAAAATCTGGTGGGAACGGCATGTTGCCCACTTTGCTGACAACCATTGGATGGTGCTCATTAGTGAATGGTTTCGCGAAAAAGTAAAAGATCACTCAAGCGACTCCCGAAGAGGTGGCGCGCAAACATCGAGCATGCGGTGAATACTAACTAGCAGCAAGTAGACCAGGAACGAAGGACTTGGCATAGCTATACTCAACGCTTGGAAGCATCCTAGTGACAACACTAACAAGGAATCCTACACTGAAAATCCGAGTGATCTTGATAATCTTTATATATATATATATATATATATATAAATTTCTTTATGTTCATAGTG